GGACTCGCAGTAGCACTTGGCGCACACCGACGACACGCCGCCCGTGTTCGCGCGGCACGTCGAAGGAATCCCGTTCGGGCACGGGTACACGCCGCCGCTCGTGCCGGTCTGGCACTCCCAGTCGAACGGCACGACGAAGCCCGCGCGCTCGAACAAGTTCAAGTCGCCCGAGCCCAGGCCGAGCACGCCGAGGCTCTCCCCGTCTTCGAGGCGGCGGCGCATGGGCAGTTGGTAGTCGTCCAAGGTCGAGTAGTCGTCCGGGTCGACGCCGTGCCCGAGCGTCGTGGTGCCGATGGGCGCGGACGGCGTGTAGGTGTGGTTGTAGACCTGCGAGGCGCAGTGTGGAGGGGCTGCGAGGCGGGTGTTTGGGGCAGCGTTTGGACGCGGGATCGCACCATCTCCTCGACGTGGTCCAGCGTCGCCTCGATGCTCTCGAGGTCCTCGGAGGAGGTGGCGCTGGAGCTGCTGCCGAAGGCCGCGGCGCCGACGGCGAGCGCGAGGATCGCCGCATGCTGTACATCGCGCGGGCAAGTTTTGCTTGCGCGCTTGGAATTTTAGCTGCGTAAATTGATGTTCAAGATGCAAAGGATAACCTTGATGTAATAAAGTGATGCTCAAGCGAAGAGATGCCGCTTGTGCTTCAGCGGTCGCGCTCGGCGAGATGCTCGAACCCGGGGCTATGATGGGCTGCAAGAAGTCGCGACGGATGGGGCTGCGATGGACGTCGCCTCTGCTGCTCCTCGGCCTCCTCGGCACGGCCGTCGCACAAAAGCACTGCCAAAAGCCCTAGACGAAGAGCGAGCTCCGCGAAGGCGTCACCTTCGCCTTCGCGAGTCCCATCGCGCGCGTCCCGCTCGTCGCGGCGGACTCCTAGGAACACAGGATGGGCAGCTGAAGTCGGTGGCCGACATGCTAGATCTAAAGTCTGTCTCGACCCCCGGCGCAATGGGTAGCCCTCTCACGCGCCGGCGCCCGCCGGCGGCGCAGCGCACGAACGAGGCGCGCCTCGCGAAAGACGCCGCCGCAACCGCCGCCGCGCCGCCGCCGCCGCGCGATCGCTTCGCGCTCGACGCGCGGTCCCTCGCCGCCTTCCGCGCCTTGCTCGCCCTCGCGCACCTGCGGCTGCTCGTCGACGCGTGGCCCTCCGTCGAGGCGCTGGCGTCGGGCGCCGGCGTCTTCGACGACGCGACGCTCCACGCGCACGCCGCGTCCTGGGCCGCGGCGCCGCTGCGGTACCGGCGCGACGGCGCGTGGGCGCTCGCGTGGCACGCCTTCGCCGTCGCCGCGACGCTTTTACTCTTCGCGGGCGCGTGCACGGG